TTCAGTGATGTTGTAACTCTGAAGAGTCTCTAAATGAACTGTTGTAAGCTGAGGATTACTTATATTGTAATTCCTGGAACCACTTCTCCAGCAGCTCATCCCATTGTTAACTTTAGCATTTTGCACACGCAATTAAAAGTTTAAGTGGGTTTCTTGAATTAAGGTCACTGGAAATGCTTATCATTTTTGTGACATAAGATTCATAATATGGAGTTTCCAATGGATTCTGGTTTTTCATCATATATTTAGGAGAGCCAAACCCTGAGGAGAGCCAGTTTGGTGTATGATAGTGGTTTAAGGCATCAGGCTAGAAACTGGGACTGTGAACTCTAGTCCTGGCTTAGGCAGAAAGCCAGCTATGTGATCTTGGGCAAGTCATACTCTTTCAGTCCTAGGCAGGAAGCAATGTCTTTAACATTGTAAGCCGCCCAGAGTCACCTCATGGTAAGATGGACAGCAAATAAATTAAATATAAATAAATGGCAAGCGACTTCTGAAATCTTGCCAAGAAAACTGTAGGCCCTAGTCCAGGCCGTAGTCAAGAGTCAAAAACTGATTTGACTCACCACACACACACACACACACCCCATAGCCTAAAGAAATCGTAGGATTTTTACAGAGGGTAAATTTGTACAAAAGGAAGACTTTAAACATGGCTTGTGATACATTACCAAATCAGTTTTTAAAGATATAATCCAAGCAGAAATTTTAAAAGACTATCGCCTGCACTAGTGAAATATTTTCTCAAGATTTGTTAAAAACGATTCAGACTAATCCCAAGTAACAGAAATTAGAAGTCTTTTTTCTGAACTGGGCCCACTATCTCTGGAGCCATCTTAGCCTTGCAAATAACTATTTTGGAGGGGTAACTACTGATGAAGTAAGTCAAACCTACTGATGCAGTCAAGCTTATTTCATATTTGTTAAAAACTGCAAGCTTTACACACAGGTCTATTCCTCCTATGCCAAAATCATGCTTGTTCTATCCAAGTCACAATTTGTTCCACAACTGAGATAGCTATACAGCTGTTGTTATTGTACAACCACAGTACCAACCCTTTTGTGACAACATTTACAATGGATATTATCATGTAGATACCAATAGTGCTTACTTCTGCATGAATGCTGTCAAGCTATGAACACTACTTAAGTGCTCCTGTGGGGGGCTACCAAGTAGTATTAAACAGCTGAGAAAGGGGCTTGCAGAAGTATTCATTTGTTGCCAGACTGAAACAAACAGGGAGGAAGTTGGAACAAGGTCTATTTGATGACATTCTTGTCTTCATAGAATTGACATTTAACAGAATTTATGCCTTCTTTCAAGTTTTAGAAATCAGTACAGAAGAACATTCTTACACAGAAGCAAGAGTCACTACATTCTGAGGATGCATTTCTGAGTAAGCTTCCGTTTTTCTGTTAAGGTCTTCAAGCAGAAATATTGGGTCTGGACTGAAAACTCTGGATGGCTGTGAAATGGCAGCAGAGTTTTGAGTTTTCTGTATTTCTTCACTGCCAGTTCACATCTGGATTTTTAACTCAGGCATAGTTCAAGGGTTGGGTGACAAGGTTTTAACCTTTCAATCAAGTTTTTGTTCTAGAACATACACTTTTTTTCTTTCCCCTATGGTGTAAAGCAAAACATTTCGGCATCGCTGGTTCTGCTCGTTTTCCACTTGTCACCAAAGTAAGTCTGGCATCAGCTCTGCGTTAGGCAGTACATTCCAAAAGGGAGGGATCATTTCCGAGTTTCTCATTTTCTGTAAATCTTTATTTGAAGGGTTTCCTCAGCATAGAATTAAATTCAGTGTCCAGGTTCTCTGCACCTGTTGAATAGTGTAGATATTCTCCAATGTAACAACAAAAACTAAAAGTTAAATCATGCTCTTGCCTAGCGGAAAGGGGGGGGGGGAAAGACAGTGAAATTCAAAAATTCAGTGTCCAGGTTCTCTGCACTTGTTGAATAGTGTAGATATTCTCCAATGTAACAACAAAAACTAAAAGTTAAATCATGCTCTTGCCTAACGGAAAGGGAGGGGGAGACAGTGAAATTCGCAAAGGCCAACATCCTCTTTAATTAACTAGTAAGAAGTATCCCATGTTTTGAGACACTGAAATGGGGTTTTTTTCCCCTGCAAGTCTTACACACATACAATGAGACGGAAAAGGGGAACGCTGGGAGGGAGGGAAAAAGGCCACGCCTGAGTATGTATCGAGGCAGTAGAATTAAATCAAAGCAGAGGTGCAAGCCAGCCCAAGGCGGGAAGCTTCTAGGCGATGGAAAAAGGAGATATAACCTGCATTATGTACACATGCTTCAGACGTACCCGGGAGAGGGGGCGGAGAGAGGAAACCAAAATGGTGCGCTCTACAGCGAGCGCGAAAATGCGGCTAGCAAGTGGCCTCATTACGCAGCGATGGAAACGGCGCCGCGTTTCCTAACAGGCCGAGAGCTGTTGTGCCACAATCATCTCTGGAGGTGAGGCTTCAGTTGCGAGGTCACATGGAAAGAGGAAGGAAATATTACCAGCTCCGCTTCAGACTACCTAGCCCTTTCTTCCACAACTTAAAAGGCTGCGGGGGAACAAATTCAGATGCAAATCGTGGTGTCAGTCACGTTCCGATGCATGTGTCCCTTCCCCAGTTCGAACAGCGCCAAAAGGAACAAAACTCGATTCGGTCGGGAAACCATCCGACATAATACTCAATTAAAGTGGAGGAAAGGCCAGGGTTAAAAATGCAACCATTGGAAGTCAGCTATTCAAATAAACATGGAAGCGCTTTTTTTTTTAAAAGTGACTTTGCAGGAACGCACGTTAGCAATGTGGCACTAGAAGAATCTCTGTAAAAACTTCGGGGAGGAGGGGGACACAAAAACTTCACAAGTCATTTTCCAGCGGGCATTTACCAGACAAAAGGGTTCGTGGAATTTTCTCGAAATTTCTTATCTTTTCTCCCAAAATTGACTTTTTTTTTACATTACAACACACAAAAAGCTGGGGGCGGAACTCTAGATTAATATAGTGGCTTCATACCCTGGTCGGCGCGAAGAAACTCATGTGAGTTCCTTATTTTTCTGACGTTCTGATCCTATCGAAATTTAGGATGATCTCCATCCTTGCTTTGACCAGAACCTATTTCGGAGTAAAAAGCGTTTAGAAAGAAAGCACGCAGCCAGCTCCCTTTCCTGCTTTGCTTACTCGGAAGCAAGTCCTGTGGGATTCAGCTAGCCTGGCTCCCTTAAAAGATGGGCGTCCAGCAACCCCCGCCTTCAAGACGACTGCACTGTATTGATCCGGCAGTCAGAAAAAAACAAATCATCTCGGTGGCGGCGGGGGGCGGGCGGGAGAGGAAAGTGAAAGAGCCCAAACTTTGCCTGAGCCGTCGCGCCCGCTCGCAAGCCCGAAGGAACCCTCCACCAAACCTTCTCAAGGAAACAATTGATCCCGCCTTAAGTAGAGGAGGAGGGGAGCCGCCGCATCGGGTGCAGCGAATAGCGTCACATGTTACATTCAAGTCCCGACAAAAGAGGCTTAACTAGCCCTTCCTTCGTCGCCTAATTAGAGGTAACTTGTACAAACACTACTCTCTTCAAAACTTTTTCCCCCAAATTAAAAACAAGAGCTTCAAGGCCCTCCCCCTTCTTCCCTTCCCTCTCCCCGTCTTCCCGAAGGGCTTTCGGTCGGTTTGACCCCACTGGGTGATTCCCCCTCTCCCTTCGTCGTCGGCTCCCTCCGCCTCTCATTTAAATGAAGTTAGAACTCCTCCCACGGCGTAAGAGCTGAAACTTTATAAATCGAGCTTTTTGGTAAGTTCTTCTGGAAGGGACGAGAAAGGGGAATTGTTGGAGCTGGAGGGGGCAAAAGGGAGTCCGTCCCAGGGAAACTGGAGGCTGTGCCTTACAACACTGAATCATTTTATTTTTCTTTTAAAGAGTTACTCCGATTTTTTTTTCCATTCCTCTTTTTACTAGTTGAAGATGTCTACAGCCCTCGTGTCTCCAACAATCTTCGACTTGAGTGAAGTTTTATGCAAAGTAAGTTACCTCCCGCATTATCTTCTAAAACTTTTTAAATAAAGCTTTTGTTTCATTTGCTTCGGGAGAGTAAACAGGGTTTCTCTCGTTCGACATCTAATGCCCTCTGCCTTTTTTTTTATCCTCCAAATTCAACAGTTTGAAAAAAAGTTGGAGAGGACGTGCGTTGCTTTAAAACGGCATAAGCTGTATTTTGGCCTTAATAAGTGCTCAGAGAGCTGAGAACTTAACTTGGGAAAGTTGTCCAGGGAGCCCCAAATCTTTGGTTGAACTGCTGGAGCGCTAAAGTCTTTTTATGGGGTGAGTGGGTGGGGAGGTGTTTTGACTTTGGGTTAGTTCTGCTTATAGTTTTGCTCGACTCTTCCCTTGAGTTATTTCGCGATTTAAACAATTGGATCTCTCCTAGGATTTTTCAGTTTTCAATAACTTGGCCCTTATTTTTTGTTTTTATTTTTTATTTTGGAAAGAAGTGTGGAATGGTTTTTTTGCGCCATTCACCCGAAAAGTTCGGGAAAAAAAGTTTTCCATTTTAAAAACCTTGCACTGATAAAAAAAAAAAAAGCTGTTGTGCGAAGCAGCCGATTTTGGTGGAAGCGTCCCTTCATCCTAAATTCGGTACTTTAGGGACCAAGGCGTGTTTCCTCTCGACCGCCCTCCCCTCCTCCCCCCCCATGTGTTGGAATGCAACAAAGCCTTTTGCAGCCCTGCGGTCGGCTTCTGGGATTTATTGGGGGCCGCTTTATGTCCTGCTTTGGAAAAGTTGCTGGGATTTACTTACTCGGCTGCACACCACGTTTGTTCGGGGTGGAGAAAGATGGCTGTTGCCACGAATTTCCCGCAAGCTTGGTGCGCCGCTGCTTCACGCTTACGGTCTCGGCTTGCTGGAAAGGGAACTCGAGCCGTGCGTGATGGGCGACGGGAAGGTAGGGGGAGGAGGGAGGCTCTGGCTTCAGGCTTTGGCAAAATACCGTTTACAGGCTAGTCACCCCGCCCCCTCCCGCCTCCCCGGTTTCTGCCCTGCTTACTTAGCTCGCTTTTTCTGCCGTTTGCTTTTCTTATCTCTCAGCCCACTCATGGGGCTACGTTTTTCTCGTTCTCCCTAGCTTATCTTTGTTTAGCCGAAGTCGCTGGGTGTATGCATTTCTTAAAGTTTTGTGAAGAGTTGTTGATTGCTTTAGTGCGCAAGGCAGTGGGAAGAGCCTGTAACTTCCTCAATTTGAGAAGCGGAATTCACAACCTGGGCTGTTGTTTCTGCGTCCTTTGGTATTGCTAACCGCTTGCAAAAGTGAGTGGTGTGGGAGTTGTTCTGCGTTTGGTTTCCCTCTTTTTTTTTTGTTAAATGTGTATAATATAGACACAAAATCAGTTTTGAAATAAAGTGTTTTAGGTCGAGTGTCACATGTGCCCCAAACTAAAAGTTGCTTGAACTTTTTTTTTAAAGATTCCTCCGCAGGGTCAGAAAACTAATTGGAAAGGAATTTTTAAGAGATATAAAGTCATTCATGTATGAATCACGTGAAATGTAATTTCTTTGCAGAAAGTGAGGTGGCACAATGATACTAATTGAGAAATTCTAACTTAACATCTTTCCCCAAGCTCACATCTTGCAAAAAAAAAAAAAAAGCTTGTATAGACCCCCCCCTCACCAAGAAATACATTTCGGGTTCCTGGAAAAATAAACTTGAAAGTATTAGTGGAAAAGATCTGATTCTTCCTCTCTAGAGGTTTGGGAAAGAATTGTGTTAAAATGAGGTTTGGCTCTTGTGCATAAAATATTAAGGAAGTCTACAGCCAGTATTCAGAAAAGTACTATGATAGGATGGTCAGGTTATGGCTGATACTTCTTCCTGTTGTATGGTGATACACTTTTGTGTAGGACAAATCAAAATGTGTTTCATTGATACAATAAATATGAACCTGTGGGAAAGCCATTGAAAATCTGAGTTGCTTGCTACTTCATGCTTGTGATTAGTGGTGTGTGCTTCCTACATACAGTTCGACCTGTCTGGGACAGAAGAGAGCTTTAGTCATTTTACTGTTGGCAAGTCAGTTGTGCAGCTGTGGAAAAAGGGCAGTACAATGGTCAGGTTTAAGGGCATAAACAAGTCAAGCTGAAAGCTGGATTGTTGACTGCTTTTTTACTTCCCTCCTTCCAGAGTAACAAGATGCTGAATTACAACCCCTCTGCTGCTGGAGGGTGTCTTTTGGACAGGAAGGCGGTAGGAACTCCGGCTGGCGGGAGTTTCCCCAGGAGGCATTCTGTCACCCTGCCCAATTCTAAGTTCCATCCGACCCATCTCCTTAACGGCCTAAAGGGAGAGCCAGCCCCAGCCTTGGGGCCCAGGGAGAACCGCTTTCGAGACCGCTCCTTCTCCGAAGGTGGAGAGCGCCTGTTTCAGCAAAAGCAGCCCGGTGGGCAAGTCAACTCAAGTCGCTACAAGACGGAGCTCTGCCGCCCGTTTGAGGAGAATGGGACCTGCAAATACGGAGACAAGTGCCAATTTGCTCACGGCATTCATGAGCTGCGAAGTTTGACCCGCCATCCCAAGTACAAGACGGAGCTCTGTCGCACTTTCCATACCATTGGCTTCTGCCCTTATGGGCCTCGCTGTCATTTCATCCACAATGCTGAGGAGCGCCGGGCTGTAGCTGGTGGCGGTCGAGAGCCTATGATTGCTGAAAGACCCCGCCTCCAACACAGTTTCAGCTTTGCTGGCTTCCCAAGTGCTGTTGCTGCCAATGGGCTGCTGGACAGCCCCACCTCAATAACCCCTCCGCCCATCATAAGTGCTGATGACCTCCTGGGTTCTCCTACTCTGCCTGACTGTGCCAGCAATCCATTCACCTTCTCCAGCCAGGAGCTGACCAATCTCTTTGCTCCTAGTATGGGGGTGCAGGTGCCTGGGGGGGGCTCACCCACTGCTTTCCTCCTTAGACCCATGTCTGAGTCCCCAAACATGTTTGACTCTCCTCCGAGTCCACAGGGCTCCCTCTCTGACCAGGAAGGTTATCTGAGCAGCTCTAGCAGTAGCCACAGTGGCTCGGATTCGCCTATCCTGGACACCTCAAGACGTCTTCCCATCTTCAGCAGACTGTCCATCTCTGACGAATAAATCTGGTATTGCCTTTTGGCCTCTTCCCACATGTATTACAATGTTAAGCTTGTAGCCCCCTTTCTCTCCTAAACCTCCCTTAGCATCTTTGGGTTTGATGTTAACTCCAAGGTTGTCCACCTGCCTAGAGTCCAGACACTGGCTGAAACCGCAAGTGCCAAATTACGAAAAAAGTGATAACGTTTACAAGTGTAGTGCCTTTTAATATGTTCACTGTGACTATATTACCTCTCCAGCTGCAGAGGGCACCAGCAGCATCTATAGAGCTCTGCATTTCCAGATGTGCAGGAATATCTAGAACTATAACAACTCCTGCCGTGAGCAGTAGTTCAGATGGAGAAACCTCTTCCCTTTCTTTGTCTTCCCTTCCTTTGCCTGTGTTCAGTAGACATATGGCAGGTGGACATCTGTTAACATCCAGCCCCTTCCACATTTTATAAAGGCTTGTTGCCTGAATCAACTCAGGTCAGCCAGAAGAACAGCTGAGAATGGACAGTTCACTCTAACGTGCGGGGGACTTGGTAAATGGAGAGTTAAGCCAGATGGACATTGAACGACTTGCTTTTGGTGCTACAGGTTCTCCGCATGTACATGTGACATCTTCACAAAAAGTGGGGAGGGGAGGGGTATCTAACGGTGTTCATTCCACACATGCAAGTTCAGTGTAAACAAAGTTCCAGTAGTCATAGCTTTAATGGTTTTGCTCTATAGTACAATAGACCTATCCATAGAGCACTCACGCCAAGCTTTTTATTTTATTTTTTTTTCTGGGTTTTTAATTTTGTATAACTTCAGAAATTGGAGAGCAAATTTTGCTTGTCACTGCACAACAATATAAAGCTTATTTAACTTATCAAAAACGTATTTATTGCTGAAACCTATGCTTTTTTGTTAATTTTGTTCATATTTATCTGGATGATGAATTCATAGAATATATTCTTTTATGTTTAAATTATGATCTTCCATATTAATCTTAAGATTGTGAAGTCTTTTTCTTTTCTCCCTCCCCCACAGTTTAATATATTATACTACAATGACATTTTTGTAACTTTACACTTTTTTTGGTTATTTTATTTTTAAAAAATGAAAATTTAATTTAAAAAATGCAACAACTGTGTTCGGATTATTTATTTTAGATCGTTCCCCTTTTTGTGTCAGACTGCAAATTGAGTTTCATGTGCTTCTTTGCCTTCCTTTGCCCAACAAGGCCTCTCCCCAGGTGGGGTGAAATTCTGGCCCTTCTGATGTCATTGGAGTATTTTGTCAATGACTTCAGTAGAATACAAATTTCATTGCTGGCCTCTAGAATGTATAAGCATAAGCTGTGCTGTGAGACGATGAAAAGGAAGATCTTTTGCTTCCTTTTTTTTTGTAAGTATTTAAAGGAAAAGAAAATTACCCTTTGGTTTCAAGTGCCTGTCTAAAGACATTCCAAATGTAGTTTGTCTTTGCATTTCTGTATTCCAAGAATGGAGTGTTTCCTCTTTTAAAGGTAAACATTGCTGGCACAAAGAACACATTGAATGTAATTTTTCCCATTACTGTTCACTACATTGCTTTTTTTTTTTCCTTTTTCCTTTATGTGAGTTTATTTAAGAGAATCTTTTGTAACGACTGTTTGCAGTTTAAATCAATAAATCCCAAGTGTTTTTTCAAGAATTGACAGTGAAACTGGTTTTACTTGCAAAGAAAAGGTAAAAGGAAGCTGAGAATGAGATAACTACTCCTAACATCAGATTTGCACACATGTTTAAGAAAGCCAATGTTCCAAACATCTATTATGAAAACAAGTCAAACTAATGTTATCATTGGTTTTTACTTCTGTTTGTAGAAAAGCAGTATTTTAATGTAGCAAATTCTTTAATACTTTAATACCTAAAATAATACAATTCAGCAGATGAGATTCCTGCTTTCAAAGCAAATTATACCATACAAAATACAGAAAGTACACTTTAAGGGCCAGATAGTTCCTCTCCAATGGAAAACATTGAATGGCTTGCTTCCTAATCCAAACCTTATCTCTCATGCTTCCAGGAATTGTTGATAGCATGTCACTATTTTAATTTACTTTCTTCCTGAACCAAATTCCCCAGAACTTTGAAGTCATCCCCGTCTTGTATTTTGCCAAGTTGAATGACTACATACACACTGTGGATGAAAAATTAACCTAAATATCTAAGGAAATCTCCCTACACACACACACACACACACACACACACACACACACACACAGAATAACCCTTCTTACATGGGCACACGTATTTGAGTAATGGTGTTCCGGTAAGTTTGGGATTTAAATCCTTTCCAGTGATAAAGTGCAGTGGCACAGCTCTCATCGAAAGAAAAAAGAAAAAAAAAAAGACAAGCTTCAAAACTGTTATAGAGAGCATTAGGCAGATATGATATGCTTGTGCACTCAACTATTTTAGAAAGGTAGAAGAGTCTTGCAATTTTTTTTAGCTGTATCCTGGTTTTCATTCAGGAACTCTACTGATGAGCCGAGGTGGCGCAGCAGTTAGGGTGCAGTACTGCAGGCCACTTTAGCTGACTGTGTTCAGCAGGTCAGCGGTTCAAATCTCACCGGCTCAAGGTTAACTCAGCCTTCCATCCTTCCGGGGTAGGTAAAATGAGGACCCAGATTGTTGGGGGCAATGTAAATATATATACATTGCTTACTGGTGTACACGGCTTAGAGAGTGCTTGCACTTAAAGCGGTATATAAATAAATAAACTCAAGGCCTATCTAAGCACTCCTTCCAGTTTTTCCCCCAATACATACAAGGTAGGTTGATCTAAGAGTGAGCTTCCATAGCTGAGAGTGGTTTTGAACTTAGGAGTTCCCCAGTCCTCACCCAACAATTTATATATTAAACTGACAAAAAGTGCAGCCTTTAGCCTTAATGCTGTCTAATATATTTTGAGTGTGTGGTGGATATGAATTCTGAGAGTTCTTTACATCTGAGCCGCAATCCCCTGTTACTATGGCTCCATCAAAATCCTGTTACCTTCAATATGCAGACAGGCAGGAAAAGAAGAAATCAGACACATAATAGTCATGTCTCATAAACTAATGCATCCAGTCCTATTGTAAAAGAGGCTTAATTAGCAGAAGAAACTATACAGCCTAGATTTTTAAAGGGCCTTATTACAGCGGATACTTTCTTGGATCTAAAAATGAAACAATAGTTCTGATCCGAGAAAGTATCTGCTATAATAAGGCCCCTTAAAAATCTAGGCTGTATAGTTCCTTCTGCTAATTGTGCCTCTTTTACAATAGGACTGAATGCATTTGGTCATGCACTCAGCCCCCAGGTCATCTATTTCACTTGCATATGAATTAAGGGCACTCTTATGCAAGGAGGGAAATAAAAGGTTGATCAAGATCTATTGGATTTGGGTTAGTTTGTGCTTTGCCCCAATCTACATGCTCAGATGTAGGCTGATACCTGGTGGGAGAAGATCAGTGCAATTCTTTGTTTCTATATCTATACATTAACACCATAATGGGATGAAGTATCTGCTGATAATAGTATTTTTGAAATATCCATCTATTAGCAGTCCTGCAATTCAACCTTTGCAGTCCAGATTCCACCAGGAAAGGAAAAATCTTGTCGCGGGCTTTGCCATAAATCTTAAAAAAGCAGCTCAGAAAGAACAAGTACCGGGGAGTTGATGTGATGGTGCAGACATGAATAGGAGGAGATGCTATGTGAATAATCTAGGACAGTTGAAGGAAATGGAAAACCTGTAAATAGCAGATAGGTAAGGATGACCTATAGGTCATAAATGTAGCATTGAATTATTATGAGTTATGTAAAGAAGCAATGTGTGAGCTGTGACAGTGGTTGCAATATATGGCCTGACAGAAGCAGCCATCTCTCATCTGGTATTTCCCAAGGGTATTGAAACTTCACTTTTTCGAATTTCCAATGATCATACAAGGTGAAGGCCAATGTATTTGGTGCCCCAATAGACAAAAGAGATTACTTAAGAGTTGAGAACTGGTACCTAAGCAGCTAATTGAATCTCCTTTGGCTTCAGAAAGAATGCTCAAGTGGGTGGCGAACAAGCCTTTTATGAAGTAATTCCATAACAGCTTTTTCAGGGGAGAGGGATATGTCTGGTAAGTAAATGGGTTTCTTACAATACGGTAACACCATTTATGAAGGAAGAAGGTAAAATCAATTCTGAGTTAACTTTTTACCATGGCAAGATGCAAGTAACCAATAAGCCCATAACTTTCAGAAATACAAGGCAGATGAAAAAATATGGTTACGAATTGTAACAGGCCATAATATGGTTTTCCAGAAAGAAATGAGTAGCACACAGCACAAATACTGGTATGTTTAGCTTGTGACAGAAGGGCAGCTTGAGAAATCTGTTACTATACACTAGTTTCAGCACTCAGTTAATTGAGATTAAAGTTGGGTGTATACAGTAAGAAAGGTACAAAGTATATACTTGTTTATTCATTTGCTACACCACCTGACTCCCAAAGCTAGAACTTAAATCAGCTTGTGTTTCAATCCCTTACTAGATGCTTCAGGCCTCAGGATGAAAAAGTAAGCCAATGCCTTCGCTTAAAACTTCTCCTTGCAAGTCATTTCTAAAGGAAATGATGAGATAACAAAAGCACGTGAACTGTTTGCAATACATTAACCTACCAGATCAGTTTCATTGTTCCTGCATCTGACTCTTTTTTTTTATGCTTGAGTGATAAGCATGCTTTACAAAGAACATATTTTTCTTAATGAAGATTCTGTTTTAGTAATTACTGCATCCAGAGTCATCGGATATGAGACGGGCAGCAAATAAAATTTCATAAATAATAATACTGCACCAAACTGAGTAGGAAATAACTTCTTGTTTAGCTTCTCTGGAGAAAAGCTTTTTTTTTTAAAACCCATCTTGTAAGGACAATTTGACTACAGTATACTAACATGCTAGAACAGAAAAAGGTTCAGATCTACATTCGCCTATTATCCAAAGGTGAACAGGAAGAACACAAACTGTCATTTCTTTGGGAATCAGTGGCATGACTTTGGCCTGCTTTGGTATTTTATAATTTGCTGCTGCCTCTTTTTTAAAAAATGGATATAGCCATGACATGCAAATTGAAGCTGGAATTTTCTGTTGTTGGGTTTTGGTTTTTGTGGAAAAGAGGAGGGGAAGGTTGACCTGTTTTCTATTATTTTTGCTATATCTTTTGGCCAAAAAAACAATTGCTAAACTAATTTTGCCCTATTGCACAGGCATTTTGTATGCTTCTTTTTTCAAAATGGTAGGAGATCTTGTTTTCAGTTGGCAGTTGCACCAGTGAGAAGTTCTAAGAGGCTCAGGAACTATGTTTAGGAGTTACAGAGTGCCCAACCCTCTCCTAAATGAATACTGATGAAGGAAAGTAGGCCTCTTGATTTATACTCTTTCCATTAAACTAAAGAGGCTAGGAAGGGAAACCACTGCAGTGTTTAAATACCACTAAGGTGATTATGGAACACAATTTTGCAATAACAGAGGAAACAGGACTGTGGACCAGTTGCTTTCAGGCGAAATGTGGTTTATTACATTTCCTCATAGTTATAACAGAATTCCTATTTGGTCTCGCTGTTTTATAAGCTAGCCTGGGTTGCACTGAATTGATTGCATTGCAAATGTTTTGAATACCACTGCTCCATCTGCATATTTTCCCCCATATTTTGACACTTAAATTTTTAGGACCTGTCAGAGACTTGGAAAAAGTTTCCTTTAGGATTAAGGCTTTATTAGAATGTGGAGGCACACAAGAGCTTTTGCTCCTTTAATAGCTGCCAGAAATTAATCTTTAAAAAAATAGTTTCATTTTGTTTCCACTACCCTCACCCTCTTGCTCAACACGCAGAAGTGAAACCTCCACTTAACTGCCTCCAGATTTTTCAACTGTCTTCAACATCTGGCTTCAGAAGAGTCTTGAGGACCAGAGGATACCATCTGGCATTTCCTTACTTTGCCTAAATGCTGGGAAAATAATTGGAACGACTCAAGTCAAATAAAACAAACAAGGAAACCTATCAAAATCTCTAGGTATCAAGAGGATTGATTGTGGATGCTTTATGATAAACATTCTCTGCTTTGTTTTTTCCTATGCTAGGTTTAATTGTATGCGCAGTACATTGGCAGCCTCGTTCCACATTCTTCAGCAATGATGCAAGAGTAGTCACGATTACTTTGTACTGGGAACTTAAAAAGCTAGTCAGGTTTTTTGCTGTTGGGCTGCCTGCTTCTTCCACAAGCATGTTTTGCCCTTCAGCTACACTACCCCCAGACGAACAAGATACAAATCAAAGCTTTGCTAGCATTTTTCTTCACAATCAACCATTTGTTCTACTTCTAGGAGGGCATGGAATAGGTCTGTGCATACTGTGCATTTCCAATTCATGCTGCACCACCTTTCGATGTGTTTCCTGGCCTTATGCAAACCTTTAGTACTGTTGAAGTCTTTGGAGAAAGACAGATGGAAACAAGCCCTCCTCAGCATTGGTTAAGGGGCCAAGAGGTACGCAATGACTCAGCAGCAGGCCTAGGAGTAGCAGTTCTGTCCCATTACTCTGCTCCATCCCTCCTCCTTGAAATCCGGCATCATCTCATCAACAGGAAATATTTCTTCTGAACATTCTGGATGA